CCGCTGTCCACCAGTGCCTGGAGGCGTCGTCCATTGCATAACATCTCGAGGAGTAATAGTCTCTGCTGCTTTGAGTAGCCAAAGAGGGTATTATTAATAGGATCATAGGGTACATCGAAATGAATACCTTCCTTGTTTCCTATACCTGACTCAACACTTTTCTCTTCCAACTTCACTTGGGGGGTAGGAGGATTTTTCCGGGCCTTGTATAATTTCTCCTGAGCCTGGATTTGTCCTCACTGTGTAGGCTTCACCGGTGGGCAATGGGGAGCCTTAACTCGGTGTTGACCTAATATAGTCATTCCTAGCTGCTTACCGGTACTTTAACAAGATTTCATACATGTCATTATGTACGGGCCGACACCGATAAAAATCACCGATTATATACACGTCAACAAGATTATTATTATTATTATTTTTCTCTGGCCTATACTTCTTTGCGTGAGGTAGCTCCCTTCTCTGGTTGTGAGCTCTCTCTGTTTTTTTTTTTTTTTTTTTTTTTTTTTTAGGTAAATGGCCTATGCCTTCCCCCAACCTCCCCCTACAGCTATGATTTGTAAGGCTTTGAGACCCACCCATAGCTAACTATGAGCCCACACACACATGGCTAACTACGGCCCATACACACGCGGCTAACTACGAGCCAATAAACACCATGGTTAACTACGAGCCAATAAACACACGAGGCTACTACGAGCCAATAAACATACGTGGCTAACTACGAGCTAGTAACACACGTGGCTAACTACCGTCTATTCCCGGATATAAGACCCTCCGAAATAAAAGTCACATGAGACTTATATGCGGGGGGGGGGGTGTTCACTTAATATGGTCTAATCTGTAAGGACCTCCCTTTTGCTATTAAACATTTAAAGACCCCCCTCGTTGGTGTAGACTGTGCAGTTTCCAGTGTTTTCCAGCATTCACGAATCAGTTTTTAGGCTGATGAAGGGGAATCCTGACGCGATCAATGCGTCAGACTCGAAATCTAACGCATTGACCGTGTTAGATCAAAGGTTTGACTTGGCACTTTCGCGATTGCTGTTTAGTTAGGCTTGATTCTGGTAGAAAAAAATCCACTGTATAGAGAAAATCGGTCCCTTATGAGTAAAATAGATGTCCAGGGGACTTATCAATTTCCAGCCAGCATGATGTTCACCCTACCATTTTATACTGAATTTCTATGAAGTCCCCCGGGTCTTATATCCGGGAAAAGACGGTACGAGCCAAGCACCACCGGTGCATCCACCTACGCCCCCCGGCATAGTGGCAACGGGCGCCGCCCCCGTACCTCCTCACACCACGGGTGAGGGGCCTTGCGTGCCGCGCCCTCCCATAGGGCAAGCATTTGCCATCTGGCCGGGCTGGCCGCAGCGAAAGCACACTCCCTTGAAACGGGTCTCGTGGCAACTTGTGGGTGGCATGCTCTTGCCGTCCGTATCGCCATCCAGAGTAGGCATGCGTGCGCCACGAGTGTAGCCGGTGCGAGCACGCTTGAGGGCCGCCACGTCGGCTACCGCGAGCTTGTAAGAGCGCGACGTAAGGACGCTCTTGGACTGGTACAACTGGAAATGATCGGCGGCTTCAAAACCGGCTTCGTCCGCCACCAAGAGGACTTCGAAGTGCTTGTTAATGAGCATTGCAATATCGGCTACGTTGGAGAGGGCGCCTTCGATGTGCTTCAGATGGGCCTGGATGGCAGAGAAGACCTCCGCCTGGTCACGCACGCCATTGCGCACGAACGTGGTAGCTGCGGGTGTGGGGTTGAGAGTTGGAAGGGGGGGTGCGGGTGCAAAAATGTGACGACGAGCAACGTTGTTGGGAGCCTCACCGTCATCGTTTTCAGAATCGTTGCTGTCTTTCGGAACGATGACAGGAGCATTTGTCGGGGCGGTTGGGGGCTAGGGGCGGTCTCGTTGATGCGGGGGCCTTGTTGGTGCGAAGGGGCGCGATGACTTCTTTGTTGTTTTCAATTTTTGCAGGAGCTGAAATATAGTCGGAAGAAGTTGCTGCTGTAACCGGGGCTTGCTGCTGTAACATCGCGAGCAAAGTTTGCAGTTGCTGGGCGGTCAAGGTAGGGAGGGCGTTGACTGGGGCAATTTCGCTCGAAGCTGCCGCTTTCTGGCGCTTCTGGGACGTGGGGCCTGCCTGGCCTGCAGCAGCCGCGCCTTCCATGTCTTCAGCAAGGGGCACGCGCGTTTATTTTGCAGCCGCACGTGCCTCTTCGGGGGTCGCTCGGGCGTTACCGCCCAGTAACACGTCGACCGGGCTCGGTCCCTCGCCGAAATTGTCGTCGGCAGTGCGTTTTCCGCGGCGGTCGGGTCTCCCGGGCGATTGAGCGGGTTCGGCAGTATTAGCCGGGGTAGAGGGCTTGTCGCCATCGCGATTCTGGGTCGTGGTAGCTGTTAGAATAGTAGGCACAAGTAGGAGCCATAGCTAGGGTTTACCTAGCTAGGCAAGAGAGAAATGAGCAAAGGAGGGTTTGACTAGCAACAGTTGGGATACAAATAGGAAACCCTAAGGGGCTGTACTCACTACAGAGTACCCCACTGCAGGCTAGACAAGCATTATAATCTGACACACCCCCATAGTCAAAGTGGGGTATAATCAGCACAGCAAGCAGTCTTAGAGCGGGTTCACAAGGACAAGCAAAGCTAGAGGCATTCACAAAGGGCAAGTGAGGAGGAGGAGGCGAGACTGTAAGAGGAGAAGAGATAGGAGACGACGGCTGAAGCTGCAGACACACGGGCCACAGGAGCGGCTGGCTCAGTTGCTACCGGAGCAAAGGCCCTGGACTACATGAGTAACAGGCTGAGAGAGGAGCAACGGACCCCCGGGCGACAGGCGCATCAGGCTCTCTAGGCTACCAGCGGCAAAGGCCCCGGACTACAGGTGCTGCGGACGACAAGACTGCTACCTCCACTCAACCTCCCCCAACTGTCCCACACCCCTTTCACACACCCCTTGCTGCACCCCTAGCTCCACTCCCACGGCACCCCCCTTAAACCCTAAACCCTCGGCTCCCACACACCCACCCCCCTCAGCGACAGCTGCAGCAGTGGGAGACGGAGGAGGAGGAGGAGTAAGGGACGGCACACACACCCTGCACTCCCATAACCGCCACCCCCACACTCGCCACCCCAAAACCCTAAAACGGGTGACACGGGGCAGGAGCACGGGGGACGGCGTGGGGGACGGCTCGGGAGACCGCGTGCGGCACTGGGGCAGGCTGCCTAGGCCGCGCGCGGGCCTGGCGCAGGCCGTACAGGCCGCGCGCGGGCCTGGCGCAGCCCAGACGGGCCGCGCGCGGGCCTGGCGCAGCCCGTACGGGCCGCGCGCGGGCCTGGCGCAGGTCGCGCGGGCCGCGTCGGGCGACGGGGGGCGACGCGCGGGTCCGCGGGCTCCGTGACGGGCGACGGGGGGCGCTTCGACGGGCGACGGGGCGGTCGACGGGAGGGGGGGAAGCGCGGGTCCCCGGGGTGACGCACGAGGGAGGAAACCGCCGCGCGCCTCGGGGCCACGGTGGGCAGAAAACCGCCGCGCGCAAACGAACATCGCGCGCCACGGGACGCGCGACACACAGGAAGGCAGCGGAAGCAGGCGGGCCCACAGGCCAGGAGCGTAACCGCTCTGATAGCATGTTAGAATAGTAGGCACAAGTAGGAGCCATAGCTAGGGTTTACCTAGCTAGGCAAGAGAGAAATGAGCAAAGGAGGGTTTGACTAGCAACAGTTGGGATACAAATAGGAAACCCTAAGGGGTTGTACTCGCTATAGAGTACCCCACTACAGGCTAGACAAGCATTATAATCAGACAGTAGCAGGCGTCATGGTACCGTCATACCCCGGATATAAGCGCCACCCGCGGATAAGCGCCTGGCGCTTTTAATCGGCGCCCGGCGCTTATATCCGGTGCTCGATTATAAGCGCACCCCCCTGAAAAAACTTGTTTTATTATAAGCGCACGTAAACTTTAAATTTTGAATTGTGTTCGAAACACTGTAACGATTTCTACTTTAGCAGGGGGATGTGTTGCAGATTCGCTTCCCTTCACATTCGGACCCTGCACTGGATGCGGGTCCAGTCAGCAGGAGCAGTCAGGAGCTGTCAGAAGCTGTCAGAAGCTGTCAGGAGCTGTCAGAGTGGGTGTATCTCCAGCGCGCGCGAGAAATTTCACAGAACTTCGACTCGATTGAAAAAGGCAAGCACGAGATCTACAGCTTGGTGTTAAAAAATATTTAAAATATATGTCGTTTTATAAACGCCGGCGCTTATAAATTTACCCGATTATAAGCCCACCCCCCCTAAAAAAACCTGTTTTATTATTGCCCCCCATGGGGGTATATCCGGGGTATGACGGTAGTGAGATTATGTTTGAGTATATCGGTAAACAAGGTCGCCAGGTTGGACGAGAACGAGAAAATAAAACTACAATTAGAAATGAAGAACGTGGGTGAGGCGAATAGCCTCACGTCCCTCTTTGTAGACGGAAAGAGAGGTTCTTTTATTCACAGCATTTCACTGTTATTCTACAAACTCACCATCTTGATTGCTATGGCCTGAGTTCTCACGACTTCTCGAGACGAAGCATTAGCATGAGATTCACACAAAGCATACAAACAATGCAGAGTCCTTTGCCCGTACCCCCTATAACCTTCAGCTCTCCTCCCCCTATTGCTACACCTTGTATATTCCTTGGAGAAGATGGCCTCTTCACGTTGCTCAAGAGCCAACCTTCCTCCCCCTTTCCACTGCCACTTAGCCAACCTTCTGCTTGACCTCCAGCTCGTGCAAGTATTCTAGCTGGCTCGGGCAAGTAACCTGCCAAACAAACATGCATTCACAATCGCTCGCACACGAAACAAAAGCAGCGAGTTCCAGGTGTCCGCCTTCTCTCCCGCCACCTCTTATCGCTTCCTGGTAACCAAACCGACTGACCCTCCACCAATCTCATCTCCCCCCACCTTCACCTTCCTCGATACCAGCCCTTCCTTGTATGAGTTAGATGCACTTGTAGCCCTTGCAGCTGCGGATGAAGGGAATGCAGATGCGGCCCGGGCAGGACTTGCGTGAGCAGGCACGGCGCTTCTTCCGGCACGGAGTAGGGTTGGGGGCTGTTGGCAAGACAGAGGAGGGTAAGAGGAGTTGGGTCATGCGATGTGTGATCTGTGTGGAGCTGTGTGTGTATGTGTGTGGTGGGGGGGGGGGGTTGGCTGCACCTGTGAGTGTGGCATGGCAAGAGCGCATGGACACAGCTGGCCCCTAGCTCTTGTGTTTGTAGCACACACGAGTCACACCCATGCACTGCACCCCATGACGGCTTTTGCATGCTCACCGCATGCTAGCATCCGCACAAGCACGTGTACGGACAAGGACACACATACACAGGCGAGCATGTTCGAGCAAGGCAGAGTATGGAAAAAGCGACAGGCGGGCTATGTACTTGCATGCACACTTCATGGATCCTACCCTGCACTTACCCACCACCCCAGCCATCATTCTCTGTCCCAACCATGCTCTCTCGTCCACATTCGCTCACTTGGTCAACTCACACCAGCTCTTGTGTGTATGAAACAAAGGGCTCTCAACAACACGAAGTTCTTTTGATAGACCGAGACCGATGTTATCTCGCCTCAAAAACATCTCTCAACACCCTCACATTCCAACATTCTGCCTCTTCCCCCTCCTCACCTCCTTTCTGACACTCCTCCCCCATGCTTCCTCTGTGCCCTCCTCCTCACTCCCCCAAAAGCGTGATTGACATTGGAACGAGATGGCACTTGAGTGCAATATCAAAACTCAAAGCTATGTTTAAGAATCCAAAGAAGTGATTACTCTCACCCTCTCAACTGCTCCGTTGGCTTTATAAGAAAGTGATATATGAGTGCAACATATAACTCAGAGCTTCCCTTCAGCCTCCTCCTTACCCTTGCGAAAGCACGTGTCGCAGAAGTCAGTGCAGGCACGACAGAAGGCTGTGCCGGAGTATTGCTGTACCTCGCACTTCCCGTAACCACATGGCGTCGCCTCGTAATTGACATAGCTGTGAGACAAAGGAAACCGAGCAGAGAGAGAAAAACGGGGGAGGGTTTGGGGGGAAGCTGGAGGGGTGAGGTTTGGAGTAGTATTTCCGAAATCGCAAAATGACATGGCGAGGGGATAAGCAGTGGAAACATGCCCAAGAGGAGCAGCAGCAGCGGAAGTTCGGTGCAGTGAGGTGGAGAGGTGAAATTGGCAAGCACAGGAGGGAGGAATTTCAATGTTGGGCCCTACTTAGGACTAGAGGTCACGAGTGCAAACGAGACGCGGAAAGCATTGTTGGAAGGGGAAGAAGGGTGGGGCAGCTCACAGGTACTGCAGATTGAGCATAGCTCCCATGGAGGCCGGGATGGAGCCCGCGAGTGTTGGTATGCGCAGGTCGCTGAGTGAGGGTTCACATGGATAGCGGTGTGCACAGCATGTGGGATAATGCATGGTGGCATGGTGGCATGGTGGAGAGAGACGCAGCAAAGCAAACATGAGAGGACGGTGGCTTCTAGGGGAGACATGGAGGTGCGATTGGCGCAAGAAGAGGGCGACGCAAGGGGAAAACGAGATCGTTAGGGTGGCAAAGGGTGAGAGGAGTGAAAGTGAGCGATGTGATGAGAGTAAGTGTCAATAGGACACATGGTGGGGCTGGCAAGGTTGCTCAATAAGAGCCACTTTTGAGAATTCTTAAAACGAGAAAAGGAAGAGAGATGCATTTCAAGCTTTCGAATGCGCCTAAACTTTCCAAAAGCTCCTCGCACATGCTTCGCGTGCACTTGTTCCCGGGACGCATAGAAGGTCCCAGTAGAGTTTTGCCAATTCAGAATTACAGGTAAGAGAGGTGTCGCATTTTGGTGATGGCGGTGGGAATTGTGCCGGCCAGCAACGTGTAGCCCAGATCACTGGAGGAAGCGAGGAACGGGGGGAGAGAGAGAGGAAGGAGGAAGAAGGCGAAGCAAACACTTGGCCTTTCACCAACTGCATTGCACCCATTGGAATATGCAACACGGGTAATCAGCACGGCCCTAAGTTGGTCTACCATGGGCTCCACACAGCCGTAGAGAGCAACCGTCTATTGCCTGTGGGACTCCCACATGCTGGTACCTACCAACACAAGGGCTGCCCCACCTCCATGCCTTGATCACGTTTCTTACTCAGCATAAATTACCCAGAATGTAAGATCGCTCTCTTGTCTCTAATGAGATGCGCAGGTGCATGTGCATGTGATGAGTGAGGGAGGCGTACAGGTAGGTGAGGGAAACGAGAGATGTGATGGAGGCGGGAATGCTGCCTGTGAAGTTATTGTTGCTCAGCTTCCTGTGAAAAGGATGGTGGGGTAGGAGAGGGGAGAGAAAGGCAGGGAGGAGAGGAGTTGAGGTGATATGGGACGTCTCAACACTCAGCCTCCTGTGGAGATGAGCGGTGGGGGCGATACGAGGCGAGGTGGAAATCCAGGTGTGCACAGCACAGACAGACGGTAGCTGTGCATGTGGGGGCATGAGCGTGCATGTGAGCACCAAGCAGAGGCATCAAGACCTGTTGATGTCAGACACAAGGTGCATGCCCATCCATGTAGACCGAGACATGCCCGTCCACTCTCATTCTCACATGCTCACCTTGTTACACACACGCAGCTCTAACAAGCCGCAAAACAAGTAGCCAGGAGCTCAAACGCATTCTATGTGCTCGCATGCACTCGTGCTCACATGTGCTCCACTTGCTTTATCCGGGTGAGGACAGTCGGAAAGTCCTCTGAGAACTTGTTCTTGCTCACATCCCTGGCAGGGGCGATAGAAATGGATGGAGGAAATGGGGGGAATGGGAAACAAAGGGAGAGCAAAAAGAATGTGGGAGGGGTGAGTTCAATAGACGTGGACTTATCAGCCGCAGTGGGTTGCTCTTACCACCCCTTCCAAAGGCAGTGAATGTGGTGCTTAACAAAAGGATACTGGGTTCCCATGCTAGAATTCCCCAGCCTTTGGAAAAGATACCTAAGGCACCTTAACACTCGATACTACGTCCTTCTTTTTCCTTCCCATGTTCACAGAGGTGCCACTCTCCCAGTCACCCTACTCACAAATGAATGTTTACACACCCTACGGTGTCGTAGTGGATGCAACTTGCAGCACCTCACCCGCCTCCGTCCATTCGCTGCATGACACACTAGCTGGGCTCACGAGACAAGAGCAATACTCAACAACCAGCTATCCCGCAGACCACTGCTCTCTTGCCAACCCATGCTGAACGCGCACTTACACCAAGCATGCACCGGCCACAGGCTACAGCTAGCGTGCCTCACCTCCGCTTGCCGTGGTGTACCGTAACCGTGACATCAAGTGCAGGAGCAAAGCAGAGCACGACTCACATGCGCTCCAACGCCGTCAGTGCACTCAAGCTTGTCGGGATAGGAGACTCCAACGCGTTGCCGTCCAGCATCCTGCCCCAGGAACCAGGGCACATGGAAGGAAGGAAAGAAAGAAAGAAAGTAGGGACGCGGAGGGGGGAAGGGAATTGGGGAAGGATGTGAAGTGGATGCGCAAGAGAAGGTCGCAGGGCAGAAGGAAAGAGGACGAAAAGGGAAGGACAAACGAGCTTCTTTGTTGAACTCCCACAGTCTGCCTTCTCAGCATCCCAGCCTCTCCGCAACTACCCGCCCCAATCCGTTTTTTGCACCTCATCACTTGTTCCTCACGTGCACTGAAGTTTCTACTCAATACAGCGCCCTTCATACAAAGCCCTCTCATCACCATCGTCAAGATAGCGCATTCCCAGTGGTACAAGGCCTCCCCAGCTGCTCTCCAGGCGAACAATGGGTCCCCAAGTCCATCCCAAAGCAACTTAAATGTTACATCTCGATCTCACCACATGAGCAGCATAAAGACCCATTCAGTCACAGTGCAAAGTCCCTCCTTCACCCACACACACGCGAAGATTAAAAAAAGCCGGCGATGCAAGCTGATGATTGGCTAAGGAGAGAGAGATGAAGGCGTGGAGCTCCAGTAGTGGTTGCTCTAGGGTGAGTCCCGGTTTCATCACCTTGGGTGGGTGAGTAACCTAGGGTGACCACTCACCCTGTGATGTTGCCTTGACGTGCCTTGTCTCGTAATAAACAAACGGATGAGTACAATCAGGGAGGTGAGGATGTGTCGGGAGAGAAGTGGAGGGCGCAGTGTAAGGGGTGCACATACAGAGTGAGAAGCATGGACAGGCTGGAGATGGAAAGGGGGATAGCGCCTGAGAGGTTGTTGTTTGAAATCAGCCTGAAGGGGTGGAGCATGCAGGTGGGTGAGTGAGGGCACGGAACATATTCTCTGTGCATGAGACGCCTCAGATAAGAAAGATGGAAAGGGAGACAGAGCCTGAGAGTTTGTTGTTGCTGAAGCTGGCTGTTATTGCAAGTGGACAAAAGGGGGCGAGAGAGGGCGAGACAGGGCACCAAGTGAGGTGAGGGGAGGAAGTGACAAAGGAAGGAGAGGACAGGTGACACTGACAGAAGACAGGGCACCCACCTGCACATGCCACTCTCTATCACGCACGTCAGGTGCATCACATAGCTCACATGGTTTCCAGACTGAGGAGATCCGTCAGGGTGCTGGGGAGCGGGCCGGATATGGCGTTGTGGGCAGCTCCCTGGGTGATGTGCGGTGCAGATGGGTGCAGTGCAAGAAGGGGGGGAATGGGGGGCAAGCGAAGGAAGTAGAGGGGTTGGCAAGGAAAGGAGGGAGGAGAGGTGCAAGTGACATTGGTGAAGCGGTCCCAGGAGAAGGTGCGCGGGAATGGTGAGAAGCTGGAGCGACTGGTAAGAGAGTGAGAGTGAGGGGTTGAGAGAGCGCGAGAGTGGAGAGAGGGCGAGAGAGAGAGCGGGTGAGAGAGGGCGAGTGTGAGAGGGTCTGCCTGAGCAATGAAATCGTAGATGTCAAAGGAAGGTTGAGTTGGGGAGGGAGAGGGAGGGTCAGGTATGTGAATGAACGAGAGGAAGGGGAGAGGGCAAGAGTCACCTTTGAGAATTCTCAAAAGGGAGGCTAGGTTCAGGGATGTGAATGAACAAGAGGAAGGGGGAGGGAGAGAGGTGCGAGAGGGAGTTTATGGGTGGGTGGATGGAGAGTAGGAATGGATTCACACGCAGTCCGATTAGATTGGACAGTGGGGTTTTGAGGCATCACAAAACATCACTTGATCACGAGGGCGAGTGAAAGTGGATTCACGTACAGTACAACTAGATTGGACAGTGGGGTAAGGTCATCAAGGTTGCCTGTCAGAGAGTTGTAAGAAAGGTAACTGGAGGGCAGATGGGGCGAAGAGAGAGGGGAGCGCTGGGTGAGAGGGTTAGGAGGGAAATGGTGAATGTGAGGCGTGGGGAAGTGTGGTGAGGCGAGCACCTACAAGGTGCAGCGTGCGAGTGTGGGAAGTGTATAAAGAATGTTGCATATACAGACAGGGATGCGCAGTGGTGCACGTGCATGGACGGTCATGGTGGCGAATGTGCAAACGAGGTGGGAAACACAAGCCAGACGACATGCAACAGTGCATGGGTATGGCAACAATGCATGGGTATGGCAACAGTGCATGGGTATGGCAACAGTGCATGGGTATGGCAACAGTGCATGGGTATGGCAACAGTGCATGGGTATGGCAACAGTGCATGGGTATGGCAACATCGCATGGGTATGGGAAACAATGCATGGGTATGGCAACAGTGCATGGGTATGGCAACAGTGCATGGGTATGGCAACCCTCAAGCTTGTGGTCGTTCAGGTAGGTGGAGTCATAAGGTGGGATGGGGTGAATGGCACGGCATGTCATGTCATGGCACGGAATAACAATGCACACTCAATCACTCGCTCGTCCCCGTCCCTCCCTTCCTCACAGGGAATTGAGGTACGACATGGAGCCTATAGAAGTGGGTATGTCTCCTGTGAGCTTGTTGTTGGATAGCACACTGGGCGGTGGGTGAGGATAGGTAAGGGTTCACAACGCGGGAGACACAAGGGGTGGGGGTGTGCCATTGAAAGGATTATGCCAAGATAGGATGGTAAAGAGCAGTAGGGAGATGTGAGTGAACAGTGAGTGCGTGTGTGCGGGTGCGACTAGCATGGGGGGAATGATGAGAGGAAGAGCAAGGACGGAACATAAAAAGAGACTGGCGTAAAGGAGGGAACGAGGAGGCAGAGGAGGGAAGGGGAACGAGGGGAAGGGAGTAAGGGAGGAAGAGGGGAATAGCAGTGCGGTTCTCACAGTGTCTCTAGATCAGCGCAGTTGCCAATGTCAGTGGGAATGGAGCCTGAGAGCTGGTTGTTGTTGAGCGCGCTAGTGGGGGTAGAGATGGGCAACAGCAGGTATCAGCACAGGGATGGAGGATGAGAAGGATGGAGGGAGGGAGAGAGGCAGGGAGGAAGGCAGGGATGGAGGAAGGGAGAGAGGCAGCGAGGGAGGGTGGGACGGAGGGAGGAGGGAGGGAGGGAGGGAGGGAGGGAGGGAGGGAGGGAGGGAGGGAGGGAGGGAGGGAGGGAGGGAGGGAGGGAGGGAGGGAGGGAGGGAGGGAGGGAGGGAGGGAGGGAGGGAGGGAGGGAGGGAGGGAGGGAGGGAGGGAGGGAGGGAGGGAGGGAGGGAGGGAGGAGGGAGGGAGGGAGGGAGGGAGGGAGGGAGGGAGGGAGGGAGGGAGGGAGGGAGGGAGGGAGGGAGGGAGGGAGGGAGGGAGGGAGGGAGGGAGGGAGGGAGGGAGGGAGGGAGGGAGGGAGGGAGGGAGGGAGGGAGGGAGGGAGGGAGGGAGGGAGGGAGGGAGGGAGGGAGGGAGGGAGGGAGGGAGGGAGGGAGGGAGGGAGGGAGGGAGGGAGGGAGGGAGGGAGGGAGGAGGGAGGGACGGGACGGACGGACGGAGGGACGGAGAGAAAGAGAAAGAAACGGAGAAAGAAAGGAGGGAGGGAGGGACGGAGGGAGGGAGGGAGGGACGGAGGGAGGGGCGGAGGGAGGGACGGAGGGAGGGGCGGAGGGAGGGACGGAGGGAAGGAGGGAGGGAGGGAGGGAGGGAGGGAGGGAGGGAGGGAGGGAGGGAGGGAGGGAGGGAGGGAGGGAGGGAGGGAGGGAGGGAGGGAGGGAGGGAGGGAGGGAGGGAGGGAGGGAGGGAGGGACGGAGGGACGGAGGGACGGAGGGACGGAGGGACGGAGGGACGGAGGGAGGGAGGAGGGAGGGAGGGAGGGAGGGAGGGAGGGAGGGAGGGAGGGAGGGGGGAGGGAGGGAGAGAGGGAGGGACGGAGAAAGGGAGGGAGGGAGGGACGGAGAAAGGGAGGGAGGGAGGGACGGAGGGAGGGAGGGAGGGACGGAGGGAGGGGCGGGGGAGGGACGGAGGGAGGGAGGGGCGGAGGGAGGGACGGAGGGAAGGAGGGAGGGAGGGAGGGAGGGAGGGAGGGAGGGAGGGAGGGAGGGAGGGAGGGAGGGAGGGAGGGAGGGAGGGAGGGAGGGAGGGAGGGAGGGAGGGAGGGAGGGAGGGAGGGAGGGAGGGAGGAGGGAGGGAGGGAGGGAGGGAGGGAGGGAGGGAGGGAGGGAGGGAGGGAGGGAGGGAGGGAGGGAGGGAGGGAGGGAGGAGGGAGGGAGGGAGGGAGGGAGGGAGGGAGGGAGGGAGGGAGGGAGGGAGGGAGGGAGGGAGGGAGGGAGGGAGGGAGGGAGGGGGGAGGAGGGAGGGAGGGAGGGAGGAGGGAGGGTGGGAGGGAGGGAGGGAGGGTGGGAGGGAGGGAGGGTGGGAGGGAGGGTTGGAGGGAGAGAGGGAGGGAGGAGGGAGGGAGGGAGGGAGGGAGGGAGGGAGGGAGGGAGGGAGGGAGGGAGGGAGGGAGGGAGGGGAGGGAGGGTGGGAGGGAGGGTGGGAGGGTGGGAGGGAGGGAGGGAGGGTGGGAGGGAGGGAGGAGAGGGAGGGTGGAGGGAGAGAGGGAGGGAGGGAGGGAGGGAGGGAGGGAGGGAGGGAGGGAGGGAGGGAGGGAGGGAGGAGGGAGGGAGGGAGGAGGAGGGAGGGAGGGAGGGAGGGAGGGAGGGAGGGAGGGAGGGAGGGAGGGAGGGAGGGAGGGAGGGAGGGAGGGAGGGAGGGAGGGAGGGAGGGAGGGAGGGATGCAAGGAGGGGTGCAGGGAAGGATGGAGTGAGGAAAGAAAGGGAGGTAGGGAGGGAGTGAGGGAGCGAGGGAGGGAGGTAGGGAGGGATGGGGGTATGTGGGAGCACTGACAGGTGGGTGAGTGCAGTGAAGGAAGAGAGGAAGGCAGGGATGGGTCCCTCGAGCTCATTGTTGGCCATGGACCTGCGAGCAGCACACAGCACAGGGTGAACGCAGTCACGCACTTGCTGTGTCGGTTTTTGAAGCGCCTCAGAAGCTATTAGACAATTGCTGTCACAGGTTGGCTGCATAACCACGTTACAGGTCCAACAGGGAGCTGGAGATATAAAAATAAGTGGAAACGGGTTCGGGAATGCGACGTGGAAGAGGCAATACGAAAGCACAGAAATAAACACCCTTGCTTGAATGAAAGAAAGGCAGAATGTAGGATGCCAGCGGGTTTACTCTCGCAATGCAGAAGTAAACAGTCTTGCTTGACTCAACGAAAGGCTGAGGGTAAGACGCCAGTAGGTTTACTCTTGCAATGCAGGCATGTTTGCAGGCGGGAGAGCAATGCACAGTTGTGAGTGACATGAGCGTGAGGGAAGGGCATAAATGGGCTGCGAGGAAGGGAGGGCGTGGGTGGGCAAGCATCTGACAGGTGGAGCAGGTTGGTGAGGGTACTGAGGGCGTCAGGGATGGCGCCTCCCAGCTTGTTGTCTTCCAGGCAGCTGTGATGGGCGGATAGACACACGGTGATCGGATGACCACGGGGATTCGGAGGGAGAAGGGGCTTGGACGACCAAGACGATTCCTGACTATAAAAACAGAAATGAAGGTGGCCAGTGATTGGGGTGGATAGCTACAGGTCAGGGGAGAGAGCAAGCGGTGTGAGAGCGGGTGTATGCGAGGCGTGGAGGGGACGAGGAATAAGAAGGGCATGATGCATGCAAGGGCATATGCATGCGTCGTTACAAGAATTTGTGATTGGAGATTCGCAGAAAAGTGTGGTGGGGAGCGGCGGGCACTAGGAGTGAGGGAGAGAGTCATTCCAGTGGCGGCATCTGGGAGTGGGTGGGAGGGTCATGGCACTGACAGGTACTCGAGCAACACCAAGCTGCCCATTTCCGCGGGAATGCTGTCTGTGAGCATGTTGCGTGCAAGGTAACTGCAGGGGGGGTGAGTGATTACATGTTCGCACAGGGAGACACCATGAGATGCAGGGGGCGATTTAAGGGAGAAGGAGACAACTAGAGTATAAACGAGCACTCAAGTAATTCCAAACCGAATCGTTATCTACCGTGAGGGCCAAGACAAGCAGACAAGAAGGTTTAGGGTGATGAGTCATGAGACGTGGGAGGCAATGGTGTGATGTGCGAAGAGGCGAAGTGACACATGGGAGCACGTGAAGGTGCATATGCATGTGTTCAAAGCATGCAAGCATGATGCGAGGCGCGGATGGAATGGTGCACGCACAGGCCTGTGAGAGCAGTCATGTGTGCGATGGCATCCGGCATGGCCTCTCCCAGCTCGTTGGACTGCAGATCACTGCCGCTCAGAGCACACAGGATGGAGAGAGGAGAGAGGAGAAAGGCAGAGAGAGGGAGAGATGGAGAGGGGGAGAGATGGAGAGGGGGAGAGATGGAGAGGGGGAGGCAAAGACTGCTTGAGAGAGAGGGGGTAGGAAGGGACAGGCGGGAAGTGAAACGGGAGAATGAGGGAGAGCGGGATAGAGCTCCAGGGTGCAGGCAGAGGTAAGGAGTGCAGAAGAATGAGATGGCTGCGATACATATGTGCACTGCACTGCACCGCACAGTACCGGTGAGGGTCAACACCCTAGCACCAAGTTAAGCAAGGGCGAATAGCATCGCATGCACACGAGGTGGAGAAGCGAAGCGACCGACCGACGCAATGCCAGGGGCGATGTGTGAAAGGATCCCCTCACAATGCCAACTATACACAAACAGATCTGCATGCACGTTAATCTTCCCTCCCTCCCTCCCTCCTTTCGAAGTGTTCGCCCGATTCTCACAGGTGCACGAGCGAAGCAAGTGCGCTGAAGGATGCCGGGATGGGGCCCTGCAGGGCGTTGTAGCTCAGGGTTCTGCATGCGTGGCAGCACAGCACACACACGTGAAAGGATGAGCACCTCGGGTGAGAATTGTGGGGGAGAAGAGGGGATGCGGGTGGATAGATGACAGCACAGGAATAGCGCCCTCCAGGGCATTGTAGTGGAGGGTTCTGTGCGCGTTGCAGCACAGCACACAGAAGAAGGGATGAGCACCATGGGTGAGAATGGGGGAAGGGGGTTGGAGGGGTTGGGTGAGGTGGAAAAGGCGGATGAGGCGCCTGGAAAGGACTAGGGTGTTGCAGCACAGGTTGTCGCACGGGATGTGGCCAAGAACAGAGAGGGTGGAAAGGGACAGCGAGTGAGGACGGAGTGAGACACGACAAATACGGAGCACATGGTGAGGATGGCCCCATACAGAGTGGTGACACAGGCGTACAGAGTGGTGAGCCAGGTGTACAGAGCGGTGACATAGGCGTACAGAGAGGTGAGAGAGGTGAGAGTGCCAAGAGCTGTTGGGATGGAGCCCAGTAGACCTTGGCTTTCCAACAACCTGTTGTCTTGTGATGAGCGCACACATGCACATGCACATGCACATGCACATGCACATGCACACATGCGCAGGTGTGTGCGCGCACGCACGCACGCACGCACCCACACACACACACACACACACACACACACACACACAGACACACACACACACACACACACACACACACACACAGACACACAGACACACACACACAGACACAGACACACACACACACACACACACACACACACACACACACACACACACACACACACACACACACACACACACACACACACAAACACATACATGCACACAGAGGCAGAGAAGCAGCAGAAGAGTGAAGCACAGTCACAGGACGCTGACAGCATGTCAGTTGCTTCTGTGGCCCACTGCACCCTCTCCCCCACCCCATCCTCCCCCGCCGCTACTACCACCATGCTGCCATTTCCCATTCCCTCCATACCCCTCCCTCCCTCTCTCCCGCTCTTCCCCTGTCCCCTACATGCCACCCTGTTGACGCACATGGCAGTGACCAGCCCGTTGTCGTCGCAGCTGATGAACTGCGCCGCGTCACAGTCGCCCCCCACCCGCCACTCGCTCGCCGACAAGCCCCATGCTGTGTCGCACTCCGCCAGCACCGCCGCTGCCAGAGGCTCGTGGAAGGGGGACGTGGGGACGGGGCACGTGGGGAAGGACACGAGGCCGACGGGAGCGAAGGGGCGAGGCAAGAGGGAGGGAGGGGGTTGAGTTGGCGGCTGAACGGGCGGCCATGCTGCAGGGCACAGCAGCACCAGGAAGAGTGGCTAGGGAGCATAGCAGCGAGGGAGCATAGCAGCGAGGGAGCATAGCAGTGAGGGAGCATAGCAGCGATGGCTTCACTTGGATTAGTATACATTCGACCAAGTGGGGACTGTGGTGTGGGGCAAGACAGGGAGGAGGGTACAGATATCGGGGAGGAGAGAGCAGTGGGGGAAGTTGGGGAGTGGAAGAACAAGAGGGGTAGGGGAGAACAAGAGGGAGAGTGGAAGACAGATGCGGCTGGAGGGAAATGAAGCATATCAGCGGCAAGGGAGGAGCTGTGGATGGGGTACAGTGGGAAAGAGGGGGCGAGAGAGGAGGGGAGTGGGAGAGTTAACAAGCGGGGTGGAGAGGAGAGGAGTGGGGTAGAGCGGGGGAGAGTGGGAGGCGAGGAGCGACCTTGGGCGTCGTTGATGCGAGTGGCGGCAGCAGTGGCAGCAGCAGCAGCAGCAGCAGTGGCGGCGGCGGAGGGAAGGAGAAGCTGCGTCGGTCGCCCATGACTCTCCAGAAAGATCTTCTTTTGGAGGACGGAAGGACGGAGTGCTGGGCTGAGGGTCCTCTGGTGACGGGAAAGGACTCGTGCCTCACGCCGGCTCTCTTTCTCAGGCTGCCTGGGGAAAGGCTGAGCCTGCGCTTCCAAGATTCACACTCGCGGTGAGAACTTGAGTGCGCGAAACGCGTTGGCGGACACAGAATGAACACGACTGGGGAGGTCTCTCAACGTGGTAAAGCTCCGCTCGACTTGAAGGTCACCGTGTTTGAGAATACTCGGCAACGCAATTTCCTTGCACATATTATGACGGGAATGATGTTCATCTCCCTGCACAAGGCCGCGAAAAGAGCTGAGCTCTACTCCTAGATAAAGAAGACACAGCACGAACGGCAGGCTGGAACTCGAGAGTCCAGCCTCCATTCTTTTCCGCGATGCTGCAGTGCAAGATTCCAGTTCTTGCCAACACCGAAAGACCTGAATAAGACTTGCCACCGCAGACTCTGCGAAAAGTTGAAGTCGTGAGACCTATGATAGTAGTGGTGGCTGTAGCGTGTCCCGAAGCGAACGTCGCGACAATGGTCAACCCCTGATGACCGCCGCCGACTGCCGTTTGTGCTGCCGCGGTGTGCGTGTGACGCGACGAGCTGTACCTTCACGGGGAGAAGCTCGCAAATCCGCGTGACGCTTCGGCAGCCATCGTGTCTGTCGGGTTATGGTGACGTGATGATGGCGAATGAGCGGAAACGGGAGCATACCATCTTGTACTGCAAAAGAATCGTACACGCTCGACACCACCTCTTGAGTCGCGCTCTCCCTCGTGATTCTTCTCTCCCTCTGCACGTGCAGTTCACTCCCGGCCTTGCGCACACGCATCCACCCAAGCACTGGACCCGGCTTCTTGCGCCGGCTTTGAACCGCACGAGCAACCAAACTGTTGGTTTGGCACTGACCGTGCAGAGTGGTCGTCGCTTTCTGCAATGGAGAGAAATTTTGCCCGAAGCGAATTCTGCGTGCTAGGTCGAGGTGGAGCTCTGCAGCTAGGGCACGCGAATCTGCGCAACGTGGTTCTGCAGAGGGCGAATCTGCTGAACGTGGAGGGCGCGTCTGCAGAGGAGCGTGTTTCCTAGGCCGAACCCATCCGATCGTTTCGGAAGATTTTCGGAAATTTTTGGGACTGAATCGACCCTGGGAACACTGCGCATGGTGTTCGATCTGGGGCTAAGGGCGTTTGCACTAAGGGTTCGAACATTTGTCAAGTTACAATTTTTAGTGGGGTTCTACTCGATATCCAGTCTAAATACGAGTAGCCACGGTGCAAAGCGGTTAATGTTCTAACTTTGACATTTTTTGCCAAAGTGCACACGCCCTAAACCAAACAACCTGAACCTAGCGTGTTATAAGTTGTACAAAACAGAATGCGTGTTATGAGTTTTACCAGACATAGTGCGTGGAAGACTTTATAAAGAGATTGTGATTACAGAATGTCGAGAATGATAATGAAGCGAGCATTTATAGGGTCGAAAACGTGCTAGGCGAGACCCTCGTGAAGTGCGTGGCTCGGAAATGTCGCGATTGGTGATGAACGACTCAGAATAGGTTCGGTGCGGAAGTGTAGGCCGAACCAGGGCCGACTTTATCAGACTAAAATAGTCTGATTGTCTGAAATTTCAGGGTATTTTCCTATGGATCCTGATTTTTCAGACTTGTAAGATTTTCAAACATGAGTGCTTCAGACTTACTAGTTTCTCGATACTGAGATTTTCAGAGTAGTGACTTCGCCGATATTGGGTCTTCTTTCTATGGGGAGTACGGATCCTGAAATGCGGATCTTTACTTTCTAAGTATCTTCCACTACGTCACATGTTGCCAGTGTACGAACACACTTCACGGCGCTGTCACGCGCAAAATCTGTACCGTACTTGGCAATTTTTGCCACACTCTTCCCTTATAAATCTGCCATCTTGGCTCTGTTTCACTCACGTGTGACAATCGCTGCAGCTACGCGGTGTCAGCGAGGGAAACTCTGTTATGGAGCAGCTAAGTCGATTAGCGCTGCGCCTCATGTGGTACATTCATGACAGTGCCGTGCTGCAGTGGCTGTAGTGTATTCACGATGCGATAACCTTATGCAATGAAAATCCCCTTGTCTGCTTTTGCCTTGTGAAGTTTGAGTACCGTACTCCAGACTTGTGTTTTTGCGGAACCTGGAAAATCAGAGTAACCATTCTCTGGAAAATATGCCTCAGACTAATTTTTTTCAGAGCCCCCAGAACATCAGACTGGTTTTTTTTGAATAGTCAGCCCTGGGCCGAACCCAGCTGACGCGAACTGTTCGGGCTGTCCTCGCTAGGAGCAGCCTCTACAGTAATGAATGTATATTCATTACACTCTCCCACCTTCTAAATAAGGTGCCATTATTTGTATACGAGTCTTGCAGTAGCGTGAAAACTGCAGATCTCGGTCGAAATTGATCTGACGGTGTGGAAGCCCGTTGACTTTCAAGTTGACGCGAGGCTGACGAGTTGACTAGGCGAAGTTGAGTAAAGTTGGAATTTCAGCCGTTGATTATGATCGGACGATTGTGATCGAAAGTCGAGATTGAAAATCCGCCGATGACTGGAAAACCGTAGATGTGGCGGATGTGAGGCGGACGGTAGGGATGATCGCGAAGTTGGCGGGAAATCTGACGCATGTAAGAAATCGGTAAATCCGAAGCCGTTGATGCCGAAGGAACGATCTCGTGCGTTCGTCGTGCTGTCAGAGTCTGACGAGGCTGTCAGAACTGCCAAGTACCATGCGAAAAAAATGCCATTTCTCCCCCCTTTTGAAAAGGACTGCCACCCAGAAATCTCCGTGTGGCAGCGTCAAAATCACCCTGCTGGTGCAGAATCTTCGGTTGCCAGCATCTGCAACCCCGAAATGTTGCTGTCCTATTGTCGTGTTGCTGTGGCAAAATCCTCGCTGTAACTGCTCCAGTTGTCAGTACCCCCGGCGGACATGTCGTCACTTGCCGAGGCCCTTGTCGCGTTGCTCCGAAAACTCCCGGGCAAAGGCGAAAACAGCTGCTGCTTTTCCCTCGAACCCCTGAAATATTTTTTTTTTCCAAACAAGAACCTGAACTGCCGATGACGTCCAGCTGCATCGTCGGTGTTGTCGTGGCTCGCCGAAAAACTCCAGGGCAAGGTCGAAAAACAGCTGTCGTCCCCCCCCTTCTGACCTGTTGCGAAAATTTTCCCATGTTGTTGCTGGTACCTCCGAATGTAGACGGGATTAACTGCCAAACTAGTTCCCGTCGGTTTTGCGCGCTTAACCAAGCGCCTCTGCATCGCCGCCGTTTCGAACGGAACCGTCGACCGTTGTTGCCGAACTCCGTTAAGACTCAGCTCCCAG